TCCGCGTCTGGCCGTTTCGACAGAATACAGATTATTTCGAATTATTTTATTCGTATTATTTTAATTATTTGATTAGCAATTGATTTTCGGAATATCCGACTTGAGCCATTTCCTTCATTCCTTCGTTCTGCTATAACGTTTAACATACCTCGGACGCATTTCTTTTTTTTGTAATTTTGATGTCATTTCGCACAGGAATAATCCGAAAAAGACATAGCACGTTAAATGTACATATATTTTGTATTTTTAAAATGATAATTAAATAAATAAAATAATCTGCCGCTCCAGCCGGTTACTGGAAATCGAAATAAACTCTAAGTCATGTGAAGTGGCGCCCTATGCAATAAAACTGCCAACAATAGACTGCCTTTAATCGTACTTAAGTGTAATTATAAGTTTATGGCACCATTCAAATGAAACACGTTTTATATTCCGTTATTTACCTGTGCCTACAAAGTTTAAAGTAATTTAAAGACTTTCAGAAGGGTGTTTTCAAACGAATTTCTCTAGTCTGTTTCACCGAAATATGGGATATGCGCAGGTAGTACAACATTTTTGTTGATTTTCAGTTATAGATAAGGTAAGCTCAATAAGGGTTATTGTCCCTCAACATTGTTACTAAATAAAATTTTGGCCGTCGTGTGGATTTTAGCCTTTCGACCAGATTAGCCTATAAATCTTCTGGAACTTCTATTGCTTCATCAGCCACTTTTGATGGTGCGGAGTTTAGAAACACTACGGAAACAATTTGTCTGTATTTTCCAATGGTTTTTTGGTAATCAACTCGAGGCTGGATACGTATGGAGTATGGTATTTTCCTACGCCATTTCTGTTTTGAGATGCGCCATGTGTAGTACCTATTTGACGATTCTCCAATCGTTTCTCGCTGGACAGCTAATATATAAATTAGCGGCAACTTGGGTAAAAGTACCATCATTATCAACATCATCATCGTAAGGTCGTCAGTCCTAAGGCCGGTTGGGCACGCATCTCCACTCCTTCCTATCCTGAGTTAATCCTTCACTATTTCTGAACAGTAATCTTATCTAGGGCTACCTCTCTTCTTAACTTCCGGTTCTGCCTCTAGGTGTCCTAATAGCCTATCTCGCCTATTTCTTATTGACTTTCATAGAGTCCTCTGTTCTCCTATTCTTTCTAATTTCTCTTCACTTCTAACCTTCTCTATCCACGGTATCCTCGTCATTCGCCTGTAACACCACATTTCGAACGCTTCTAACCTTTTCTTTTCCGCCACGCCCACTGTCCATGTTTCGCGTCCGTATAACGCCATGCTCCAAACATACACCTCTAACAACCATTTTCGGATTTCTAAATTAACCTTTTACAAGCATAGAAGTGACTTCTTTTTATTGAAGGCGACTCGACCCTGCACTATCCTCTGCTGTATATCCCTACTACTCCTTCCGTCCTGAGTTATCTGACTTCCTAAATACCTAAAATCAGCCACTTCTTCTAATCTTTCGTATTCTATCTTTATATTCACTTTTCCTTCTATTTTCTTCCCTTGCACACCAGAATTTTTTCTTTTACTTTTATCTATTTTTGTACAATACTGTTTTGTCAATACCTCTTCCATTTTATTGAAAGCTGTATCTAACTCCTTGTTAGATGCTAATACTGCTATGTCATCTGCAAATCTAAGCATATTAATCGTTTGCCTCTCTATATCTATCCCTACAGATGTTGATAGCGTTGTCTATGTATAGATTAAAAAGCAGCGGTGACATTGTGCATCCTTGTCTGTCTCCCTACCTAAAATTTACTTCTCCATCATTCATCGAATAATTAACAACAAATTATAGCCCTTACAGTATTACTTATGTCGTTCCTATTTCGAGAAGCGCCATGTGTAGTGCCAGATTGATATGAGGTTATATTTTCCAGTATCCGCTGATTAGAGCGACAATTTTGTAGATTTGGTAATAAATTAGGAACAAATTTTAGACATGAGAAATGTAACTTTATCGTGGTGCTTGATATTAGTCTAATTACTATTGAATTAATTTCTATACTAACGATCAGATAATGTTTTGTTTTTTACCAACTACTCAAATGTGACATGTTGCTTCCAAAAATATGAAAAATAAATTAAACAGTTACACAGTAATTTAGAAGCTATAAGTACTTCTATATACTATTACTAATATTTTTGTTATTATTTCGTTAACTTCCCTATCAAATGGATTAGAGATGGGCCGGGTATCCCGTTTGGTTTCGGAACCCGGCGGATCCGTCACTTATTTAGGATTCGGCCGGGTATCGGATAATGACGCCGAGTTACGGGCAGTGCTGGGTAATTCTGGCAGATAAAAAAGAAGAAGGCAACACCAGCAGTAATAATTTAATAAGTATAACAAAAAGTTACGTAATGAAAATCTTAATCGTAATCTTTATTTATAGTGAAGTACGCAATAGACCTTTAAGAGTATTTTATTGGTAAAAATTCTTGCTAACAACCACCAAAGAGCGTGATGGGATTACAGTTCTGATTATCGAAGATGGAAATTCCGATTCATAATACATCCTTGCATAATTTGATCGTTCGCATTACAGGGAAACGTCCTAAACAACATATCAATAGATTTTCAATTAAAATTTTTCGCTTAGATAAATGACAACATCGTATTACCATCGAAGGTAGGCCATTTAGTTAGTTTCATTTTTTTATTAGATGTATTAAACGTCGGCTATTTCAAGAATATTCTGTCATCAGATCTCAGCTGCTCAAGATACGCTGCAAATATAAACCTACTTACTTTACAATCATCTGTACGTAGAACGTAGAACCCAAATTAATGTATAACTGATAAGTATTAATTAAGCAAATATTTGAGAATACTTAGTTTCCCTGACTTTTGACCATTTGCATCTTTTGTTGCCGTCCAGTTTACTTTATGAACTTCTGAGAAATAATTTGTGGCTTCAAAATAAAGGGAAAATCTTCAGTTGGATTATTTTAAGGATTTGGTCTTTTTTTTAGAAAGTGATCGTGGGCTGATCTAGTTGGTGATTAAGATTATATTGGGATAGGTCACATACGAATATAAAGATAGGAGACGAAAAGACGGAAGGAGTGGATGGATATAAAGCAGAGGATAGCTCAGGGTCAAGTCGCTTTCGATAAAAAGAAGTCACTTCTATGCTCGCGAACGGTTAATTTAGAAATTGGAAAAAAATTGTTAAAGGTATATGTTTGGAGCACAGCGCTGTACGGGTGCAAAACATGGACGCGGTGGAAAAGAAAATGTTCGAAGCGTTCAAAATGTGGTGTTAGAGGCGGATGATGAAGATATCGTAGATAGGGAAGGCTATAAATGAAGAGGTATTAGAAAGAATAGGAAAACGGAGGATTGTATGAAAGTCAATACGAAATAGACGAGATAGGTTAGTAGGACACCCTCTCAGGCATGAAGATCTAATCAGAGACATATTAGAGGCAGAAACAGGAGTTAAGATGAGTAGAGGTAGACCTAGATTAAGGATATGGGTTGTTCTAGTTTTAAGGAAATGCGAAGATTAGCTCAAAATAGGAAAGAGTGGAGGTGCGTGTCCAACCAGTCTTATTACTATAGTAAACTATTTGTTACTTCTATAAAAATTCTTGTCTTACATTTTCTTGTGAATAAGAGTACATTAGTAAAGCCAAACTGTCTCAATTACTTGTTGATTTTTATTAACAATAACCTCTTAGTTGATTTAGATTCGTTACGACGGTTTCAACTCTCGTTGAATTTCCGTCGTCTCAGAATTAGAGTTTCATTGATTTAGTGTTTAAACAAGTAACCGATTTTTTGAACGGGACTTCATGAAATTAGGGACGTTGGTGTGGGTGGTATTTAATGGTAAACGCACCAGAACGAGGACATGATCCACTAACAACCGTAGTGATGGTTTTGCCGGGTACCCGGTTATATTTAATAATTACCTATATTTCCGTGTCCACTATAAAGTGCCTAATAATGAAAGTAAGTCAAAACGTTACCCGAAATGGAAACTTAGCAGAAAGCAGAACCATTTGTAAATGTGACAAAATTTTTTTTTGTTCAAATAAAACATTGAATAACTTACTTGCGGTAGAAATAAAAGAAGCACTCACAAGAAGAGTTGCAACACAAACTATTGCACGCATTCTGGAAACTTGAGATACTCACTCGTAATGACTAAAAGAACTATTTTTTATGGCATGTTCTTGTGCTTGCTTTATTTATATCAATGACAAAAATCGGCCACTCAAATCGGTAATACGTGTAAAAGTATTTATTGGCTTTTAACCATTCAGTGTGTTCATTTGAAGTGGACAAACTCTTCATAAACTTTGTACAAGTTTCATGTTTAGTGTACTCTTCATATCAGTCTAATTATGTCACTGGGTTAATGCCAAACAACACGATACTACCTTGAACTTGCAGTTTGATTTCAAATTGTTACGCAAATTTCATTCATCTTCGATATTTATAATAAACTAACTTGTGGGTCTTACCCTAATGTCTTTATTGGGCAAACCAGAAGAAATTTTAAGAAAGGCCTGTTAGAGCATAAAAATAGTTATTTAAAGAACAAAACTGATTCAATCTTTGCTAATCGTGTTACATGAAGGACACTGCTTTAACGATAATTTCGAAATAGAACAAACAGAATAGCTCAAAACCCCAACGCCAAAACACGACACTGTAGTTGTCCGAAGCACTTTTCGGTAACAAAGTTACCTTCTTCAGGGACTGAAGTAAAACAATTTACTTCAGTCCCTGAAAAAGGGAAAAGAATCTTCATATAATTTCGAAAGTTTACATGTATGTAATAAAGATCAAAATTTAACCGTTTTGATGAATGTTGAAATAATAGATAAGTAGGATTATTTTATTGTGACCAGGTTGAAGATAATGATTCTCCTCTTTTTATTTTATCGAATTCCTCGCCTCAAATATTTGTAATCCCTATTTAGTAAATCACAGACTTATTACAGTCAGTAGTACATATTCAATTCGTCTAAGGAAGCCAATGTTGTGACGAAACGTATGTATGTATGTATAGGTACTGTAAATAGTTTCTGTAGATCGTTTAATTTGTTTAATATGTTACTTCAGGAGGGTATGAAGTATTTTATACCTAATACATATCTAAAATGACGGAGTTAGTGCTATTTAATTTACTTATAAAGTTATGGGAATGTAATAAACAATAGTAATAAAAATTAAAATGGTATATAAACATACTAATTAACAAATGTAGTTTAAAATTTTCAGTGAATTTACTTTGTATATGTAATAAATAATTTTTTTACTCAATTAAAACTTAAACTCATCATGGTCATAAGGTCGTCAGTCCTAAGACTGATTGGACACGCACCTCCATTCTTTCCTATTCTAAGATAATTTTCGCATTTCCCTAAAACTAGAACAACCCACATCGTTAACTATTTGCGAACAGTAATCTAATCTAGGTCTACCTCTACTCCTCTTAACTCCCGTTTCTGCCTCTAATATGTCTCGGACTAGACCTTCATGCCTGTCATAAGGTGTCCTACTAATCTAGTCCATATAGTCCTCTGTTCAGTTAAGAAGAGTAGAGGTAGATTAGAATACTGTTCACAAATAGTTAATGATGTGAGATGTTCTAATTTTAGGGAATAGCGAAGATTACCTCAGGATAGGAAGGAGGTGCGTGTCGAACCAGTCTTAGGACTAACGACCTTACGATGATGAATGTCCAAAGATGAAATACTAATTTTTTAATCCAACATCTTAAACAACGCTGAGAACGTTTTCTACATAGGTACAACATTGTAATAGATTAAGTCCAGTGCTCACGATCAGCGATAGAGAAGAGTCGTGCCTGGCGCATTCACCAAAATGTGTGTGTAACGTAAAACATGAACCGACTACAATTATTATTTATCATATGCAGTGATTATTTACAGATTCTAGGACTTTATTTATCACGCTTCACTCGGTAGGCTTAAGACAGATAATAGCACTGACTATTTTAATTTAGTTTCCATATATTTAGTTCTATTTTTATGCAGTAGTTGGCATTCGTACAATAAAACAAGAAGTACTGGAGAAATAGGAGAACAGAGGAAGAATAGAAGTCAGTACGAAATAGGCGAGGTAAGTTGGTAGGACACCTTTTCAGGCATGAAGGTCTATCAGAGACATATTAGAGGCAGAAACAGGAGTTAGGAGAGGTAGAGGTAGACCTAGATTAGATTACTGTTCGCAAATAGTTAAGGATGTGGGATGTTCTAGTTTTAGCGAAATGCGAAGATTAGCTGAGGATAGGAAAAAGTAGAAGTGCGTGTCCAACCAGCCTTAGGACTGACGACCTGATGATGGTGACTCATACCTCTATGAAAAATTTGATAATAGTAAATTGTTTCTATAACGTATCCCAAAAGATGTGAATGCAGTTAATTAGTGAAAACTGCGAAGACCGGAGGTTAAAATAATGATAAATAGGACATGTGGTATTATTATTCTTTCCAGTGGAGAATTAGTCGTGTAAACCTACTCCAAAACCGCCTTTTTATTTTAAATTTTTATGGCTTCTTACATGTATAGAATTCTTTGGTGTATCTGTTGAAACGTACATTAGTTATAATTCAATTTTTAGCCTATAAATAACCGGTATTTTTCGACTTTTTCGAAAAGGATTAAACAAATTCACAGTTTCCTTGTTACCTACATAAATAAACCCTTATGCGAATGACGAACCATGCGTAAGGTGAAATTCAATTTTAACTAACTCAACCTGACAGTAGAATATTGTTTTGTAACATCAATTTTACACAACACAGTTCTACAGGTTATTTAGCATTTTAAAACCAGGTTACCACACTAAATGCCTTATGGTATTCGTGTCATAACAATAGTAACAATGGCAAAAACGTTTATACAAAGCCGATCAAGTGCATATTACAACCTGTTTTATTCACGTTATAATAGTGGTATATTACGTTAGTTTTTATGTGTATGTAGTTGACTGGTGTTGGCCGATTAATATAAGATAGGAATGAATAGCGTTGAGTGGGCGCTGTCTTGCACTCACAGATGTGTATAGGTAATACGAGGGAAGGTCCATAAGTACGCGGAATGAAGGGAAAGGGGCAGAGTCAAAAAATCTCACTGTACACCTAGCAAATTAGAGATTCATTTTTAGTATATGAATAAAATTTTCAAGTCTATGACTTTATTCGTTTACGAGTTATCACCCTTCAAACAAGTCAATTCGGAAAAAATCGGAACAATGGAAAAATTGAACATGGCGCTGTTGTAAAGTTCCTGACAAAGTAAGGAAAGATTATAATGAGCGAAATGGAAGCCTTTTATAGTAATAAATGCCCTAGCAAAACTGTGATTTACAAGTGGCATGGGTAAATATGATCGAGTCGATTGAAAACCATTCCCGCCCTGGACGGTCAATTGAGGGCACCACGTCGAACATCACCGAAAAAGTCGAAAAAATATTAGAAGTTGCTCGTCTGAAAAGGAAACAGTTATCGGCATTAGTTGAAGTGTCAGATACCACAATTTTAAGAATTTTACACATTCATCTTGGCATGACTAATGTCAGTGGAAGATGGATACCAAGAATGCTTACGCCGCGTCAGAAGCAACAGCGAGTGGACGGATGTAAGCATTTTTTGGAACTATGTGGCAACGAACGTAGCCTGATTTTGGAGAAAATTGTTACCGGAGATAAATCCTTTTTTTATCACTCCAAACTTGAGTCCAAACAGGAATTGATGGAAAGGCACAACCCGTTGAGGGTGTCAGAATCGACTGGAAAGTTGATGGCTACACTTTTTTGGGATTGTGAAAGAATTTCGGTAATAGATTACAAAGACAAATGTACCACAATTACTGGAGACCACTACGCTTTAATACTAGAAAAGTTAAAGGCCGCTATCAAGGAAAACAGAAGAGAAAAATTGACGAAAGGTGTGCTGCTCCTGCAGGATAATGCGCCAGTTCACAACTGCAGAGTGGTGTTGACTGTTCTACACAAACGAAGATTCGAATCTCTAGTTCACCCACTTTACAGTCCACATTTGGCTCGCAGTAATTTTTATCTATTTCATAATTTGAAAAAGGAGGTCAGGGGGGCAAAATTTTCCAATGACAATGAAGCCAAAGAAGCTGCTTCAGTCCATTTTGGGGGCAAAGACAAAAAAGTTAATTTCGAGATCTAATAAGGGTCCATCCATAAATTACGTCACACGTTAAGTGGGAGGAAGGGAAGGGGTTGACGAAGTGTGACATTGTGTGACAAGGGGATGGGAGGGGTCCTAAATTTCGTGACGTCACATTTCAAAATTTTCAAAATCTACTTTGCAATATTAACACAAAAGTTAAAAGCATTTGCAACCCTATCTGAATAAACATAAGATTCAAATTGTTTTGTCAGCCACTCAATCTACTAGTGCCCATCGCGAAGATTCGTCCTCAAAGAATTGCTGCTAGACGTGCCAGAGAAATTATTTGTTTCAATGTTGACACAATAATGTTCCCGATATTAACAACCCAAACGAGAACGAAGTGGCTGCTATGCCAGTTATGAATAATTTAAAGGGGTGGCTTCAAAGTCCATAGGCTCAGGATGATTAAGTTTAAGTTTATAAGTAATCGTTTCTTTTGTTAATTTCTTGAAATGTTAATTTTATTAAATAATTTAAACAGAAATAAAACTAATTTCGGAACTGTTGTTGTAATTTCTAGATGTAAAGATTGAAAAATATGTGACGTCACACTAGGAAGGGGAGGGGGGTCTCACAAATGTGACCAGCTGTGACAAGGACGGGGGAGGGAAATTCGGGTGACGTAATTTATGGATGACCCCTAAATGTATTGATCTTATGGGGAGTTATATTGAAAAGGAAAAATGACTGTATTTATTTTACAACACTTCCATTCCACGAACTTTTGGACCTTCCCTCGTACGTGTGTCCCTTTCTGTTACGTAAGGAATTTAAATGGTAATTTAATTAAAAATTCAAATCAGGATGGGCGATTTCGTACAAAATTCCTACGCACGAGCTCAAAATCGATGGGCCTGTCCTAATACCCGAAACGGATTTTGTTATATTTCTATGTCTGCACCTGTTAGGATGCCATGCCGAATATCGCATGTCAATTATAAATGCCTACATCAATATCGTCTA